TTCTATCTGTGACATTGTTTTCAACACAGTAGTCCTTTGTGGTCCTTAGAAAATGTATGTCAGACTGTACCTACTGTGACTAAGAACCAAAGTTCTGGCTGTAGTCTGCTTATACTTGTGCTTTCTCTTGCTGTGCCCTCGCCACTTTGAGCTCTTCACTATTTGTTAAACACCCCACACATGCTCCTGCCCAAGGCCTTTGCCTTGAGGATCCTTCCTCCTGGAATGTCACTGGGTGTCATTGCCTTCCCTCCTTCAAGTCTGTGCTCAGGTATCAGCTTCTTATTCAGGGTAGTAGTGCTCCTGCCTTGACCTCGTCACCACAAGCCTCTGTTGCTCCTTCTCTCACAGCACTTATCACCTCCTGCCATAAGCTTCCTTATTCTTTAGATCTATTGTTTCCTCCATTAGAAGATAAACTCCATAGATTTTGTTTACATCTGTTTTTGTTCCTCAGAATAATGCCTGGCAAACAGTAGCAAATTTTTGTTGAATTAATTCATTTTTCTGAGTTATTTTTTTAGCTGGTCAGCCCCTCCTCAGCATTAGGATTCTGTGACAATCCAGTTTCCTACCTTCATCAAGCCCCACGTCTAGTTAAGGAGTGGTAGCCAGGGAATGGAATTCAAGAAAAACAAGAAATGGTTAAATGTTTGTTGTGTTGTTATTCTGAGGGGGAATAGGCTGTGGAGTGTCCTGGATGGGCATTTTTAGTATCATTCCCATACACTGTCTCCTTTCCGACCCCACCTATTCCCTTCTTCCCTGGTCTGGGCTTACAAAATGCCACTTACCAAAAGCTCTGATCTGTTTCCTAAAAGTTGTAAATTATTGGCACCTAGGCTGGATTTAGCTTATGTAAACATGTTTTGTTTGGCTTACTCGTGTAGTGTTGATTATGTGGTTTTTGTTTTTGCTTTTTATTTTACGTAGTGCTTCTTAGGATAATTTATTTATTTGCCAACATTTAGAATTCAGATATTTCGTATGAAAATGTGGATGTCAAGCCTTGTTGGAAAAAATGGCAGTTCTGATAGGGCCTGCATTCTCATGTCGCAGCCAGCTGCTGGAATTGAGTAGCTGCAGCCCGCTTCATCCCAGCCACAGCTTCCTTTATCTTGACAGCCTCCCCTTTCACTTTCATCTTACCTGCCTTGCCCCTGTAGGGATTTGACTTTAAAGCTGCTGCTTTTACTAGAATGCTCTGAGTAAAATTTAAGCCACACTTTAGAAATTGAAGTTAACTTTCATGTAGCTAAGGGGATTTTTCCCCCAATGCTGGGAATGGAACCCGGGGCCTCAAGTTTGCTAGGCAAAGTGCTTTATCACTGAGGCTCAACACAATCCCTTTGAGGGAACATTTAATGGCTTTTTTATTGTTAAATGACCTAGTACTGTTGCTGTTGACCAAAAATGGAAACAATTTGAAAAAGAGTGAAAGACTTGAAATCTATTTCAGCTTTTACACATGTATTCATCTGCTCATACCTTTTTAGTTTGTCTTAATCCTTTTGTCTATAGGCCCATAGCTGCTGTCAGTTCATCCAGTGGTTTAATATAATAATTTTAAAAATGCATGATGAAGTGTCCAAAGATAGGAGTTTAGATGCTTCCTGTCACCTGATTGGAAGACATTAATAATCATAGGATTGGAATGCTAGGAGGATGGAGAGGGGAGTAAAGACAAGGTGGGAGAAATTATGATAAATATAAACTCAATAAAATGTTCACCACAGTTAGTGTCCTTAAAGCATTAATTGTCTGTGTCCAAGACTCAGACTTAGGATAAAATAAAAGTAACCCCAGGATTTAGTAGAGAAACCTGCAAAGTTAAATTCCAGACTGCTATGGGAAGTTGTTAAGGTGCCAGGTATTTGTTCAACTGAAATAATCTATTTTATGAAACCGCGCATCATGGTTGTCACGGTGACCTTTGTATATTTTTTCTTCCTTTTCTTGGTGGGGAAACTACCAGAGACTCTGGCTTGAAGGAGGGAGGGACAGGAGGATAGACAGAACCATCTGCCTTCAGCTACAGGACAGTGGTGTTTCCCTATAATAGAGTGGCTGTGGCTTTGTTTATATTCTTCTATCAAGGGGGTAAAATGTCTTTTTAAAGGAAAAAGTGAAACTTGGATCCCTGGAGTGACTTTGGAGGGCTTGGAATGTTTTACTGCATAGATAGAGGATGCGATTTTACTCTGTAAGAATGAATTTAAGCTACGATACAATGTGTTTAAGCTGCAATTACAAAGGATTTCAGAGCAAGCCATGAAGTCGTTTTAGCAGCTGGGAGACTTAAAGTCAGCTTATAGAAAACAGTCATCATTTCCACTAAACTAAGAAACCAACAAAAGAATCAGCATGTTCTCATCCAAGAATTCATATCTGACTGTGTGTTATGGTGCCCACAATACCACAGGGCTCAACAGTGCATCCTTCAGATAAGTTTTTCCTGATTCTTTGTGCTGATATCATATTTGAAACAGTAAATAGTCAACAAATCTGATTTTTCAAATCATACCTCCATTAAATTTGAGAAGTCTTTTCTCAAGTGGCAAAAGAGCACGATCTCCATAGTTAATACATTTACCTTCCCTTGTACTTTATTCCAAGACCTGATTTTCTTCATCTGCTTGGGATGATCTGTATATGTAATAAGTACATTTATTTATTTATAAGACAAGGAAGTTTTGTTTTATTTTTCTAATGTATTAGGTAGCAAGGGAGAAACCAGTGAAAACAGATGACTTCTTGTCATTTGCCTGAGGAAATAATGGATGGGGGGTGGTATTGTATTTTCAGTGTAGCATTTGGATATATCTCCATAGTTCTCGAAAATCTTGCCTGAGTTTTTGGGAAATAGGATGATCCAAACAGCATTTTTGTTGATAGCTTTTAACTAGAGACCTTTTCCTCTTTTATGGGCACCCGAAAAAAGAACTAGTAGCACACCATGAGGCTGTACACAGACAATGTAGCCCAGTGGTTCCTAATCTCATTGTATATCGGAATTACCTAGAAAACTTTGATATACACACATGCACACACAGATTAAGATGAAGCTCAAACTTGTTCTTTGAAGTTCCCAAGTGATTCTAATGTATATCTGGCAAAGCTAAGAATTAGTAACTAGCCGAGGGGATTTCAGGTTTCCCCAAAGCCCCAGCATTCCTAAAAGTGCCCTGGGGGTACCTTAAAAGGAAGCAAGCAGGTGGAGGACAAACTAGGGCCCCTAGGCTTCACTCTCCTCCGCTGCCCCATTCCCCCTTTTGCCTGAACAATTCTGGTTTTTTCTATATTAAATATTGAGGTTCTAAAAGGAACATGTTTTTTAACCACAACTCTAGACATATATGTCCTATGCAAGAATGGCAACACAGATTTTAACTCTGGTTTTCAAAAATGGTGAGCACTGAGTTTTCCAACAAAATTCGTGTATTATGTAGCATCTGAGGAATGTAGAAAAAGAAAGGAAATCCAAGGTAATAGATAACAAGTGTCCCTTGAGCTAGGCTTACTTCAGGTGAGGAAGGGAGGTGACTTGTCCAAGCAGAAATCTCAAACAGGGGCTTTATGCTGGCTACCACAGGATCCAGTTGATTGCAATGTCTTTGTTTTGGCCACATGATATCTTTTAAAATTTAGACAGGCACTGTTCTCGAGTTTACCCCAGTCTACAACATTCCACATGGTTATACTTGACTTGCTCATTCGTTTGCTTATCATGAAGGCTCTGAAAACTGGTGTTTCTAGACCCTAGAAAATAATTTGTTTATCAGTTTGCTACTTGCAGCGATATTTCATTTGATCAACTTTGGAGGCTGAGGTAGGAAGGATCACAAGTTCAAAACCAGCCTGATGGGATTGGGGTTGTGGCTTAGCAGTAGAGCACTCGCCTAGCATATGCAAGCTCAATCCTCAGCACAACATTAAATAAATAAACAAACAAGCAAATAAATAAATGGTATTTAAAAAAAAAAAAAACAGCCTCATCAATGTAGTGAGACCCTGTATCAAAATAAAAATTAGAAGGACTGAGGATGTAGCTCAGTGGTGAAGTACCCCTGGGTTCAGTCCCCAGTCAGAACAACAGCAATTGTCTGCACTTGGCTGTACTATAAGATCTTGTAACCTCTTGTCTGCTTCTCTAGAAAAATGTTTTAAGTTACAGATCTTTAGCACCCCTTGGAAGTCTATCTTTTATTTCCCAACCTCAGAAAAAAATAAAAAGAAAGAAGAAGTATGGCTTTTATTTAAGAGAATAATTTATTTGGTATTAAAATGTCATACAAAGTTTTTGCCAAGTATTCATTATAAGAACTGTATTAAATCTGTTTCTAGAAAGCCAAGATGGTACTTTGTCTCTAGGTTGGCTAGATTTTATTCCTTTTTTTTTTATCTAGGTCAGATCAAATCTAATTAAAATTGTTCTTCTGCTTTATCTTTTATTATTTAAACACTCATTGCCCTCTGTGGTCTCACTAATGGACTAATTTCCTGAGATTATAAATTGGCATGCTTTCATTTCCAGATTGCAGCCTCTCTGTCATCATTTTTCCAGTTTTTTTTTTTGACATGTTTGTTTTATGCTGTATCACAAATGGATTTCCTCATTTCACCTTCTATGAAGTCATATGTCCCCTTATAATTAATGAATAAACTGTGCATCCAAGGATATTTATCCAACGGCACCAATCAAATTTTATATTTTTCAAAAGCAACCATGTCTTTAAAATAAGAGTTGGCAAGTCAAGTTTGGTTGTTGTTGTTTTTTTTTTTTTTAAACAATGACTATAGCCCATTTCCCAAATTAGTTGAAGTCAGTTTTTTTTTTTTAATTACTACAGCAATTCTGTACCATAAAGTTACTACCAATATTATTGCCAATTTTTTTGGCTATTATACTCTTTCTTATTATAACTTAAAACTTGGACCAGAAAAGTATAGAAAGAGCATAGTTTTAAAACATACAGCATAACTTTTTTTTCTTTTTGTAGCATTAATCTTATCACTGGTCATTTAGAGGAACCAATGCCAAACCCCATAGATGAAATGACAGAAGAACAAAAAGAATATGAAGCCATGAAACTTGTCAACATGCTTGATAAACTTTCCAGGTATTGTATTCCCATCCATTTTTTGCTTGGTTTCTAAAAATGTTCTATTTCTTTGTCTCTCTCACTGAGAGTTACCATAGAACAGCAACTCTGGAAATCCATGCTGATTGAAACAGGGTGGCCCACGCAGCAGTAGTTCAGACACCTCTTGGCTACCATAGTTTTTCTACATGTGCCGCTTCTGGATGTGCATTCTTAAAACATAAGCTAAGATAGTAACTATTAGGTCACTGTAATATTTAACCAACTAACCTCCCTATCTTCAAAAAGATGCTATGAGTTAGGTTCAATGATTTTGCTGCTTCTTGTATTTTTGTTTTAGCCTGTTTTTGTTTTTGTTCCAAATCATTATGCGCTTTTCTTTCCTTTCATTTTTGATGTGCGAGTTTGCAATTCTGCTTTTTTTGGGTTGCTGCTAAAACCAAGAATTCTGAAATGTAATGCATCCAATAGGAAAAAGTGAAAAGAAATAGCTCAAATGAAGGATTTTCTGAAAGCAGGCACTTGTATTAATTAGAGGTTCTAAAAACAATCTGCCCTTCCCCTCTTGCTTCATGTCTCCTTGCCTTCCAAAAAATAACCAGTTTTGAAAATAATTAAACCACATATATACTAATCAGCAACAAGTCATCTTGGAGGAGTTATTTGAAAAAAAAAAATCCTTTCATACTTGGCTGAATTGCTCTAATTTTCCAGTCATACATTGAGTCACTGTCTCCTTAAGCCATCTTGAGTGAGTGCTTCTGTGTGTTGGTGGCATCTACCATTTTCAGGTGAATTTCTTCTGGTCATCTCCTCTTTCATAGTAGCTATGTGCAGGGGGCGGGGGATGTGAAAAAAAGAGCTAGTATCCCTCAATAAAGAGAAAAAGCAAGTTGGATGTGAAGCCAAACTGGGAAAAGGAAAGGTCTAACAAAGAAACAAATATAGGTGAAGGGTAGAACAGGAGGCTTAGAGTAGAAATAGGCAAGAACAAGAGACTGATGTGGGAAGGATGACAAGTATGGGTATTTTGACACTGCACTCTGAGCTTTTAAATGATGCCAATAATGTGGTAGAAGTTGTTTAGAAATAAGTAACTTCATTATCTACAAAGTGTAACTACAACTCAAAGACTGCCAGCTTACCGCTTTTAAATATCTGTCCATTCCTAAGAAGGTTAAAGCTTACAGGTAACTGTGCTCACAACCTTCAAAAGACATTTTTAACTGTTTGCAATTATATTCTCCATACCTTTGTATGGAATAGACATTTTCTTTTCCTGAAGGAATTAATAGTCACAGAGAAGATATTGATAGGGCAAACCTATTTAAGGCAGAATAAGAAGTTCTAAATGAATATATAAAAATAAGATACAGTAGCTGGGGATGTAGCTCAGGGGTAGAGCATATGCTTGGCATGTACAAGGCCCTGGGTTTAATCCCCAGCACCATTTTTAAAAAATTTATTTATACAAAAATAAGATATGAATGCGCTTGGCTGCTTCCAGAAGAGTCTGATGTAACTAATGAAAAAAAAAAGTAGAAGTTGGGAGGAGACCCAACATAGCCCATGTAGTGGAAGCTAGAGGGGGAATTGTTAACAGAGACCTAAGTGGAGCATTATTAGTGTTTTAGGACAGTGAAGCAGTTAAATATTTCATATTCTGACCAACAATATGAATTTTTAGAAGTTAGCATAGGTGCTCTTCAACTGGCCCATCTACCTTGAATGAATAAAATCCAAGCTAGGAAAAGTAGACGATGGGGGAAAAACTGCCTAGGATAATGCAATATAATCTGGGAACTTGGCTTATCAGTAGATACACTACCAATTTCATAAGGCATCCTAATTACAGGCAAAGAAAACAAAGGTGCTAAGTCCTTCTTTTAATCTCAGTGGAATTACATATTCTAGAAGCTACCAATAAGTAAATACACCAACATTAAGTCTGATGTACTCAACATCCATCTAATTTAAACTATGCCTGAAAGAAGATGCACACTCACCAGCAGGCACCCAGGGATGCCCAACTCAATTTGAAGGTGGTACTGATTTTTGCATGAAAAAGCAAAGCAAATATGTCTTGTGTAGGCTTTGATGGTACTATTTTTGCCATTAAAGTTGAAGCAAACAGCAACCTTGAATAGTCCTAAATCATGTACACTTTTTGCATGATATGTGGTGGGTTTTTACATTGTCTGCCTTTGTGTGCTTTCTAACATTTGCTCCTACTAATAATAGTGAATGACAAAACTGTATGAAGATAAGTAGTGGGCATTCCAAAGCAGGAATGCAAAGAATGTAACCATTCTTTATGCGTCTTACACATTTGTTGTGCTGTATTCTTCATTAGTCTTAAGTTTCTTCTCTCTTTTCACCTTTTTTTTTTTTAGGTTTAAAAAAGTCATTAAGCCAAAATAGACTAAATTCAGTACAATTCAGGGAACATTTACTAAACAGATACTCTGTGCTACACTGTGCTAGGACCTAGCCAAGGGAGATGCAGAGGTAAATGGGACAGTCTCTGTCTTTAGAAAACTCACATCCTAACAGAGTGTGATCTATTCTAGAATACAAAGTAGAAGAAAATAATGACAAAATGAGGTCTATGTTGAACTTAAGCACCCAGGAAAAGGAGCAGTTCATTCTGTTTGGATGATTTAGGTTGTGTTTCACAAGGAAGGTAGTAGCATTTGTGCTGATCATTGAAGTTTAAGAGAGATTTAATGGAAAAATGACTATTCATTTCAGGTAAAGAAAAATTTAATCTCATTAGTAAGATAAGTCTTTGGTATTTGTATTCTTTATCTTTCTTCCAAAGAGCTCAGGTTATTTTATCATGATTTGATTAATACAGAATATTACCAGATTTAACATTGGGGGAAGCAAGGACCAAAGAATTGACCAAAACATTTCCAAGCTATTGACTGATGATGATCCATTTCCTTTTGACGGTTTACAAAAACACTTTCACATACATCTTTCTAGCTTCATAATAAAGTGAGCCTAGGAACTTCATTTTCCAGAACTCAAGATCTGTCCACTGTGTTACTGTGTCTGTCTGTTACAGGAAGTGTTTGCCAGAATACTTCCTAATCACTCTCTCAGCATTGTACTATTGGTTAGTTCCCTCAACTGTCACTCTAGGAAGTTCTGCATTCAACCAAGCCTTTATTGTGCTAAAAGTGTACTTCACCTTTGTCTAATTAACTTCCTTTCTCAATATGAAATCATTTTCTCCTGCACCTGAATTGAAAGGCATGTGAGTAAAGGATAGGGTTGGAGGTGACGTGGCCAAGGAATGGACACTACACACTTCCTTTTTTCCATCCATAGGAGAGCAGATGTGAAGGACCTGCACCAGGATGGTGGTTAGCAACAATGGCCCGTGCCAAAGCACTTACCAAAGTGATGACTAAGGTTGGTCATGCCAAGTACTGTTACTGAGCCTGGTGTAGGGTATAGATGTTATTCACTATTAAAAAGTGTAAAACCACCAATGTAAAGCTTAAAACTACATTTCAATTTTTCCCCCATGCTGGACTTAGCCACTGTCTCAAGGAGCTCACCACCTTAGCATCTTTATCTCAGCTAGACTTCCAAAGACAGTGGAGAGATTAGTGCTCATATATTTTCTTTCCATTGAATGCCAAATGATTTAGTAGTATTTTAAGTGATTTTGTATTTCTTTAGTATAAGGATTATCTCTGTAACAGATGTTTATATAAACCCTTGTATAGGAATTGGCAGTATACTTGGAGGTCTTCAGAGTTGGAGAATCACCTGAACCCTATAATTCCCTTCATATCTAGCTATAATATAGTGCCTTGAACCTTTGGTTTCTCCAGTGCATGATGATGAAATGATGAAACAAGTGGTCCCCAAATATGAAGGTCAGGTTTCTTGCTCTATAAAGTAGCCTACATGGTTTAAGACTTTGGAGCTTATTTTGTCAGTTCCATTTCTTATCCAGACTTGATAAAAGTCAAGGCAGAAAGAGAATTCTACAAAGCACTGTAGACCATGACTAGCCAGTTTAAATATTTAGTGCATAATTTCTTTACCATGGAATGATAATTAAAATATTTATCAAACATAAGAATTGAAGCCTAGGCTGGGCACAGTAGCATATGCCTGTAATCCCAGCAGCTTGGGAGGCTGATGCAGGAGGATCACATGTTCAAGGCCAGCCTCAGCAACTTGGCAAGACCCTGTCTCAAATTAAAAAATTAAAAAGAACTGGGGATGTAGCTCAATGGTAAAATCCCTACTAGAGATGAGAATGTTGATTGTGTGAAAACAAGCCCAGTGTGCCTGAGAGCATTGCGTCTGCTTGGATGCACCAGGCAGCTCACATGTGATGATGCCTGCTCCAGAAAAGGGCAGAGGACATCCATTAACATAAGTTTAAATTAACCAAGGGAATGATATTCCAAGTAACAGTTTTGTTTTGAATTTTTAAATCCTTAATTGATGCCAGAATTGATTAATCCTCCACTCCACCCTCCCTCTATCACTGTTTAACAAGGTACATTGCCTGTTTGCTTTTATGTTCTACCATTAAAATCTGTTTTAAAATTTATATGTATATAAATAAATTATTGTCCTACCATTTCTTCTTTCTCCCATCCACTCACTTAGCCAAAAATTTGTAGTTTTTCAAAAAATTTTATTTTTTTGCCAGCCATAATGATATTTGGATGTGGCTTTCTTAATAAATGCAAGTGCCAAATATTTAAAAATTCCTTTATTTCAAAGGTCATTTTTAAAACTACTAAGGCTGAGAGTAATTTAGGACTGAAATGTAACAGCTATGTAGTTTTTCCTTAAAAATATTTTATTCTTCTTAACCAAATATCAACAACTATGGTTACATCTATCTTGTGATGAGTTAGTCAAGAAAATGTTTTTCTGATACATTTCAGAAACATGATCCAATTCTTAAAGCACTGTAAAAACTGTTGTAGGTATTAATGTATAAAGATCTAATTGGTTCCATCAGAATATCCTTCAGATCTGCACTCTCCAGTACGGTAACCATTAGCCGTACATACTGTTGAGCACTTGAAATGTGGTTAGTCCAAATTGGGATGACCTCTAAATGTAAAATATTCACTGGGTTTCAAAGACTTAATAATAATAAAAAAAACAAAGAATGTTAAGTATCTTACTAATTGTTTAATATGGATTACCTGTCAAAATGATATTTTTGATCTACTGAGTTAAGTAAAATACATTAAACAGCAAATTTTAACTATTTTTTCAATGTGGCTACTAGAATATCAATATTACATATATAGCTTACATTGTCTTGCATTTTATTTTTATTAGCATTGCTCTCCATCATTAAAATGTACTGTAAGGTTGCTTGGAAATTCAATTACCGGGACTTGGATCCAGTTAAATTAATAACATACAGGGGCAAGGGAGGGTTAATTTGAGAAACTCAGTAGTTCTATCATTAGGTTATAGAGGACCTTTCCAGTGGTAAGATACCTGAGTAGGGGGCCATATTCCCTGTGGTATGAGGTAGCCTCCATATTCCCTCTAGGTAGTCAGTGTCTTTTAGATCTGTAAGAGGAATGACTGCTTGGAGTTCTTGGTTAAAGCACTAGCTGAAATGGCTTTTGACCCTTAGAAAAGGATAAAATAAGAATAATCTCCACTAGCTGTTTATAAGTTAAAAGTTTTTTAACTTTTAAGCATTCCTAATTGGGAAGAGCATAAAAAGGACTTCTTTTTTTTCCAACAGTGTCAGTTAGCATGCTAATTGCTTCATGTTTATTTTGTCAATTTGGACTATAGGGTAAAAAAGTTCTGAGTAGATCACCAAGAAATAATAAAGAACACCATCACCTAAGGATAAAACTGAATTTTATTCTTCTAGCACTGTTCCTAAAATCTTTCTCTATATTTTCTTAACCATGCTGTTTAATATGAGGTGGGCAGCAAATTTTTAGAAGCTTTGCATGCAATCTTCTAACAGAAATGAGAGCAATAATAAAACACTAATATTTACATAGTGCTTAACTGTAAAAAGTGCTTCCATATATATTATCTCCATTGATCATTAAAATAGAGGTATTTTATTAAGAAGTAAATGTATCAAAGATTAAATAAATGAACCCAGATCAGGTATCTAGTTAAGGATATCTACCAGGACTTGGTTCTCAGTCTTCAGACTCCAGATATTATACTGTTTTGCAAACTTACCAACAGCTCTCAAAAGATTGTCAGTCTGATTATTTTTAAATAAAACTTTTAAATTTTAAACAAATGTGGAGCACAAAAGACCAATAGTAAGCACAAATGTCTACCTTGAAAGAAAATTAAGATGTGGAAAACACAAGCATCATGCAAGCTGCTTTTCATCCCATAGCTGAGCTCTTATCAAAGATTAGATCACGTGCCCAAGAAATACTTTATATTATATGAGGGAAACCATAACATTTCTGATTCTGTTAATACAAGGTTTGGTTTTTTTTTATTATTTTAAAGAGAAAAACGAATAATGAGTATTCTAACATTCTTACATGTTATTACACTAATAAAACCTAACTTTTAGACATCCCAATTACCTTTACAAAGTCAAATTACATGGTAATATGAGCAGTATACCATATCTAGTTGTCTTGGGATTAATATTTTACTTTCCCAGCAGTACCTAGTCTCAAAGCACGATGGTGAGAGATAAGGAGACACTCAGAATCATTTATGAAAGATGCAGCCAGAAGACCTCATATTTGCTATGGAAGAGCCACCATACCCACCTTCCTACTGTGTTAAAAACTTAGTGAAAGATCAATAGAACTGGTCAGCACTCAGAAGCCACTAGATGAAAGATGCAATGAAAGAGGGTCAGGGTCCAAGCCCAAAGGATACTTTCACAGTATCCAATTGAGCATGATAACCAGTCTCAAAGGTTATATAATTTCTGTGAGAAAAAGGGGTTAAAAACACCTATACTAAGTCACAGCTTATTGAAAAGTCCATTGCACTGCAGTGGATCATAAGCAGTGTCCTAGACTTGGAATTATAACTAAGACTATAGAGCTGCTTTCTCCAGACCATCACATGCTCCATTCTAGCAGACATTCTTGGAAGAGCTCTGTGTAATGAAAATGCTTATTTATATACTAGTTTTTCATCCCATCTTTCAAATGTGAAAAGGAATTAAATATGAAATGCCTAATTTAAAATGTCAGGGTCCTTTTTTCCAAGCCAACCTTACATTAAGAGCAGGAATCCCTGAGCCAAATAAATGGTTCCCAATTATCTTGTCTTGGGTTTTGTTATATATTGTTCAGAAGTCAACAAAACAAGTATGTAACAGAACCTGCCTAAATAGCAGCCACCCTCATTAAAAACGGAGAATTAATCAGGGGTGATTGAAGGAAGCAATGCCTCATAGATTCCCCCTACACACACACTTTTCTTCTTTTCTAATCATAGAACAAAATATGTTACATAAAAGGATCGGAACGATTATTCAGTACTCAATTAGAGGGAGGTGAATAGGTCTCTAACATGCTGTTTTATCAAAAGAGCAGACTGGTGTTTGCATGACTGTTGTTTCATTACAGACCCTGTCATTAATTCCATGTGTCAATACTGCCCTGTAGTACACAGAGCAGACAAGAAAGAAGAGCCCTTGAAAACAAGGGAATGATTTTTGAGTCGTTATCAAGCTAAGTGGCAAGCGGGAAGCTGAAACTCGTATAGGTAAATTCGAAGGGACTCTTGGGAGATCTGCAAGTGGGAAACAAGAATGCATTTTACCAACTGCTTAATTATGTCCTGTTTTTCAGCAAGTACACTTGAATTGAATGCTTTGTTTGTATTGCACAAAAACGTGCCGTGGGCAAGAGTATTCTCTTGCTTCCAGGTCAAGTAAGGTGTTCTATACACACACACTTCTGACCTATTCTGTAATGTGCAATTGGGTTTGTTAGTATCTGAGCCCCAATTCTGCACTCTCATTTCTGGGGGAAAGAGTCACATAGGAACCAGAGCCCTAAAAAGTGGGACCTTCTCTAAGGTCCTGAGAAGTCATGTAAGCCCAGGCATTCCAGAGTGCCATACCTACAGGAAAATGGTGGCTCAGGAAACTGTTAACATATATCTGGGGAAAAAAACAGCCAGAGAATTTTAAGTATGTATAAATCCCATCATCTCCCACCCCTAGATCATTAAGAAATTTTTTTTGGTTTCCATTAGCAGTTCCAAGGGTTAGGCTGGGGCAAAATAGGGTTTCCTTTTTTGGACGTGCTTTACCTGTGTCCTCTTGCCTGGCCAAGCCCTTATAGATTATGGTTCCTTATCGTTTAGTAAGATCAAATTTCTAAATGATGTTTCGTTCCAGTTGAACATTCTTGGAGGCTTATCTCTTCCCTGGCCAGATGCCTGATCAGATGAGAAGCCCGCCATGATACTGTCACAGTGCCTAGAATGGGCTCTTTATCCAGTAGACATCACTGTACTTTTTGATGATAACGAGGGCAGTCTTAACTTATGTTAAGGCCTGTGTATAGCATTGAAGGTAAGTATGAAGGAGTTGTTGCTATGTGAATATCTTAATCCTGATACACATTTCAATATACAGTATCTCCATTTTATAATGATAAAACGGAGATACTGTATATATATTTATACTGTGTGTGTATATATATATATAGATATATCTATATATATCTATATATATACCTGACACCTAGCCATCCTTTTTAGATAGGACTTTCAGGACCAGTAACTCTTCATGAAATGGCCTGTTTATTGAGGGCCATGATGGAATTTGGATCCTTCTGTGTAACACATGCCATTGCTTTGATTTGCCTATATAATCATTTTAACCATCTGCTGGTAGATTGCAGAAAGGGTTTGTGGTCTTGGTGTATGCCAGTGACAGGTAGGTAGGATGTTGTGTTTCATTCTTAGGTCTAGACTCTCTTGACTAGAAACAAAGGCTTAGAGTAATGACTTGGAGTATCTTTAAATTTAGCAGTTTTTCAAATAGATCAAAATTACTTAGTAACCTTATCTTAGACTCTTGAACTTAGTATATAATTTTGGGGATCATCTTGTCCAACCCCTCATTTTATAGATAGGGAGACTCAAGCCTGGAAAGGCAAATGACATGCCCAAGGACACGGAAAAAGTTAGTAAAAGATCTGAGACTAGAATCTAGAGATCTCTCGACCCATACACAAGAAGCCGAATCTAACCCAGTTTATTGTTGGTAATTCTAGGCTGTATAGAAACGGGGTCTGACTTCTGGGCCATCAGAATGTCTGATGACCTTGACTAATCAAGGAAATAATTACAGTTAAAATAATATGAGAATGATTTCTGACAAATGGTTCTCTACTATTCTCCCTTTATGTCATGACCCATGTACTGTAGTCTCTCAGTAAACATTTACTGAGCACCTACTATGTCCTGTTTCTATACTAGGTACTGGCAGATTACAGCCAGATAAGACATGGACTCTGCCCTCAAGTTGCCCACAGTCTAGTGAGAACAAGAAATCCCTGGAAAGCATAATTCAGAATTTCATATGGAATATGAACACCTTTCCAAACTCTGTTACTCTTGATGAAAGTGAATCTTTTACCTACAAATTTAGCTTACCTCTTGTTCATGGTTTAGTTATTAGGAGTCCTATAAAACACATGCCTTTTCTTTTTGTGAAAATGCAAGATGATATCAAGTGCAAGAAAAGTGTAGTTCATAGACCTTATTGAAGCTCTACTCTCTGCAAGGCACTGTGCTAGACACGTAGGGATATGGGAAATGAATAATTAGAGCAAATATATTTTTAATATATTAGAACAGTATTGTTTCATAGCTTTCAAACTTTATAATGACAATTATTTTTTTTTAATATTCTTAAATATTGGGGCTCTTGAAATAGAAGACAAAAATACCTTCATACTCAAATCCAGACTTGTCAGCCTAAGATTCAGGTCTCCATTCAGATCCTCTTTCATACCCCATATCTCTTGTGAGCTTTCTTTTTCCTTTTCCTCTGCTAAACCTGCCTGCTTGGCAATCCCTGCACACAACTAACTCTTGCTTCTGTGCCTCGCCCGACTAATCCTTCTGCTTTGGGGATGCTTTTCTTCCCATGAATCCATGTCCATCGCTGCCATTATAGCCTGACCCTGAGTCCACCTCCTGCAAGGAGCCTGTAGTCAGTGTCCCTGTCTCCTTCTATGTCCCTCAGACATGCATAGCCTATATGATTGGTGGAGGAACATTTCTGTGGTATGCATTAAAGCTTCCCATTCTCTGTCCACATCTTTCTGATTAGATACAACAGAAAATAATGAAAGCAGTCTAATATAAACATGTTTTTGCCAAGCCTTTTAGGAGCGATTCTATAACAAAGATTTCATTTTGGTGTTTGTGGGCTATAGTTATAGACTAGAAAGATCAGAAAATTAGGATGAGAGATTGAGAAACTTGGGTTCATGGAAAAGTCTCATGTCTATAAATGATCATTTCCTACTCCCACTCAGGACAAAAAAATTTCCTTTAAGCAAAGTACAAATACAATGAGGGTGGATCCATGACTGTCACACTCAGGGAAAGCAGGGCTCTGCTTGTCAATCATCTCAAGCTTATTGATCTGCTGTTCTGTAATTCTTTGAATATTGTTTAATGTGTATGTGTTTTATCTTCTGAACTGACTAAAAGCTTCTTGAGGACAGGGACCATGTCTTTTTTTTCTGGTTGTTTGTTTTTTGTTTTTTTTTTTGTTTTTTTTTTTTGTTTTGTTTTGTTTTTCTGTTTTTGCTTTTGCATATTCTTCCCCAACTTATTCCTGACTGGCATAGGGAAAACCTGGAAGCATATAGGAACAGGAATGCAACTTGTGAGTTCCAACTACATCTAGCCATTACACTTCCATACTTGATATGTATAATAGTCTTTGCCCTCATGACAACTTAAGGAGGTGGGTATTCCTATCCTAATTCTACAGATACGGAAATTGAAGTTCAGAAAGTTCAACGTCTTATGGTTAGTGAGTGTTGGATCCAGAATTAGAACTCAGATCTGACTCCAAAACCTGTATGAATTTTTTATTACATCACAATCATGGTAAATGTTTGAGTCCTTTACAGTTCACAGAACTCCTTAATTTACATTATTATTGCTATCGTTACTGCCACTATTATTACTAATATTATAATTATTCCTTACATCATTACTAGGAAGTAGGTAGTGCTAGTATTATCATGACCCCCCATTTCACAGATGGGGAAACAGACCCAGAGACATGCCCGAGATCACACAGCTGGTAAGTGGAAGAATCAGGACTTCATACAGACCTCCTGACTCCACAACCTGTTGTTCTTTCCATAAGGTCAAGTTGCTGCCTTAACTCATTTGCATGAATGCATGATGATGTGGCAGTGCTCACTGATGCCTTCCTGCAGAAAAGCCAGTACACCTGAGCCATGCAAAAGAAAAAAGAAAAATAACTCATACCTTCTGAGGAGCTTCTGTTTCCATGGAGGGCTGATACAAAGCACCAAAAATATAAACACTTAAATAGTTCACAAGTGAGAACTAGAATACAGGGCACTTTGTTCTATGAATGAATTCCCATAACTTGGCAAAAAAGCTATGTGATATTTTTCCATCGTAAAGTAGGATTAGGAAATAGGGATGAAGCTTACAGACATGATTTGAAATGTTCCCCCTGGGTTTAGATGAGAAAGTGCTAGACGCTTATACAAGTTGGTAGCTGTCCTCAGAATCTTCCTGTTATCAAAGAGGTGCAGTAGTATTCGTCCAAGGGATGATGATATGTCTACCCAGCATATCATCCTTGGTAGATGATATCCTGTCCTTGGTAGAATCCCTCTAGTCCCATCTGCCAGGCCTACTTCTATCTCTCCCTACCCTGCTGCCCCTACCCCTACCTCCCTGCCCTCAGTTCACCAAGCCCTGTAGGCCTTTGAACTTCCTCATTCTTCAGTCTCCATTCCCAGCAAGTTGTCCCCCTTCTCCTTTTGCCTCAGTTGTTTGTATGTAGTGTACAGTACCACAGTTCTTCAGCACAATCACTTAGAACTAGGAAGATATATACTGTAAATTATAACTATATAATTTGTGCATGCTAGAGACAAGTTTTAAAGTAAACAGGTGGTTTCTAACTCTCCACCAGACATTTCTACCTGGTTGTCAAACGGGCAACTCAAGCTCTTTGCATACTGAAAGATAGCAGTGTCCCCCACCAAATCTGCTCTGTCTCCCTTCTTCTGCTTCAGTAGATAATATCACATCCACTTGGCCATCCACCCCACAGCTAAGGGACTCTACTCCTTGCCTTCACCGACCCTTTCCCCTCTGTGGGTCATTAGATCTCCCTCAGCAGTGTTGCCTTCTGTTCCCACAACCTCAGCCATACCCCAGCTCTGTCTCCTCTCCCACACAGCTGTTAGAGTAACCTCCTAAGGACTTGTCTCTCTGCCACCTCTTCCAGTGTGGTCTCCCACACTGCTGCCAGAGGAAGCAAAACTGATCGGATACTCTTTACAGGATGAAGTCTAAGCTCCTTACTTGGGCATTTAAGACATTTGACTATTGGGTGGCAGATGACCTTTGTATCTGCCCCTCCTGCTGCCCCTTCACTGAGCCCCTTCACTCTGCAAACACCAGGCCCTTTTCCAGCTTTGTTAGAGCACACTGATAGAAAAGATGAACTGGCACAATCAGAAGAGGTCTACAAAAGCACCACAAGGTGATGGGACCACATTCTGTGTGGTCCCATCACCTTGTGGTGCTTTTGTAGACATTTTGTAGGCTCCTGACATGGTCTCCTTGTCCTGAAACGTGTACCCTTTGCCTAGCACAGGACCCCTTGGTGGCACCTTCCCCCCCTCCCCCAGGCATTTGGTTGGTGCTTCATCTCAGGAGCTGCCACAGTTCTTGGTTCATAATTCTCTCATAGCATCTCCCCCATTACGTTCCAAGTTATTTTCCATATATTTATTTTACTTGCTCATCAAAGGCAGCAGCTGTCCCCAGTCTTCCTTTTCTTCCCCAGTATGTGACATAGTTCCTGTCACATAGTTATTGAACAGATGCTGAACAAATGCACTCAGGGTGTGCTCCGCCAGAGCAGTTAGGCACTTAGTCAGATGTGTTGTGCTGCAAAGAGCACTGGACTGGAATCCAGAAACCCATGTCCCAGTTCCAACTCTGCCACTAGATAAGTGACCTTGGGTAAGTCACTCAGTCTCCTCTATTAAAGAAAGGGGTTGGACTAAATGATCTCTGCGGCCCCTTCCAACTTTAATTGATTTAATTGATTTTCACTCCATTTCTTGGATCAGGAAACACCGCCTACTTTATAATATTCGAGAGCTTCACTGTAGCCAGCTAGCCAGCCACCACATTTCCCAGATTTTTCAGATCTCAGAAATAGTCTTTCATGCAGGCCAGACCTTCTCCAGGAGGCTGCTCTTGGCCTTACCAGCAATCACTGAGCTTTCTCACCCCTCCCCAGGTTTTGGGTGCCATCACTCAGTCGTGTGGCTACCCTTTCCCAGGAGGGAGCCCCTCTTTGTGCTGGCCTAAGGGAGGCAGGGGGAGAGGAAGTGTTTCCCTTCACTGCATGTCCCACCAGTATCACAGCTGCTGCCATCATGTTTTGGGGAAGCAGTACCCATTTCTGTGAGAAACGAGTTTTAAGCAGCTCATGGCCCTCTTAAGTATACTGCTGACCTTTTGAGGATGGGAGGAGGACTGGAGTTAGCAACTCCACAGGTACATTTGCCATAATCTCTGTGTAATAAACAAGAGTCTATGAAAAGATGAAATAAATCTTTCCTGATGCTTTTTGATTGGTTTAATCAATAATTAATCATCTTCAGATGAGGCTGTAACTTGTGGAGTAGATATAATTGGATTAGCTGGAAAGAGGCAGTTGGGGAGCTTTGAAGAGATTAAAATGTCTGTCAGTCCCATAATTAAACTGCCACAAACAAAAGCAATGGTGTTTTAAACAAGAAGAAGGGAAAGAACAAGCAACAGACAGAAAAGGGAAGAAAAATGGGGAAGAAAATCAGGAAGACCAACTGATTTGAAATGAATCAACAAGTATTTATGTATCACTAAAGACTGAAGGCAAAATCTAATCTGACAGATTGATTCCATTGAATGAAATGCATACATACCAAATAAGCCATTTAATTATAGGCCTGGGGCAGGTGAAGTTTCACAGCTTTAGCTTCACTAAAACAAAACAAATCCACAAAAGGGGGAGGAAAAGTTACTTATTGAAAACAGAAGAGACCTGCTCCTTGTCCTGAGCCCATTTAGACCTTGACTTTTCATACTTTTAATTGGCTTAGTAGGTTTGGCCTGTGTGAATGAAGTCTTTTATCTCTTTTTCTTTCCATGCCCCTTTCATCTTTCCTATTACAAACACACAGAGAGAGCTTGAGAGAAAATACTTTGGTTTTTAAAGACTTTTCTTTTAAAAGGATGTGGATTTGGGTGGGGGGAGGGGCGTGTGTGTGATGCTGGTGAATACTTTTTTTTCTCTCTTTTATCTCTTTTTCCAGAGAGGAGTTGCTTAAACCAATGGGACTAAAACCTGATGGGACAATAACGCCTTTGGAGGAAGCACTCAACCAGTACTCTGTCCTGGAAGAGACCAGCTCCGACACAGACTGAAAGCATCACCTGCTCAGCTCCCAGTATTGCTTTTATCAGCATCTTTTCTCTGTAGCTCCAGGGGAATCTTTTCTCTAAAACATTTATGCCCTTGCTTTGGCTAGAAACACATTAACTGGTTTACTCATTGAGAATCCAGCGTATTTAAGAGGTGATCCTGTGTTTTTTGCAATATCGAGGCATTCATACAGAGCTGCAGTGAGGCAGAGTCACAGGGACTAGAAGCAGAAAAACAGTAATTCCATTTCATCAGATGGAACGAAGAACTTCATTCTGTAAAGCAGCCCTGGCCAAATCTGGCCATTCTGTTTGCCAAGATTCTTGACTGAAGATTTAGCCAGGTCCTTCCTCTCACTTGGGTGAGCAGCCCCTTCTGAGTCTCTCGAGCAGCCAGAGGCACATGAGAGCAGAATGAGCTAGTAAATAAGGACTGAGGCAAGTGACTCCTTAGGTCAGTACTGACTAAATGGAAGCCAAGCAGCTGCTCTGTAAACCTAGCCCCACTCTTCAATTTTATATACATATAGAAGCACACACACAAACACACACACACAGGCCCCAGACTTACAAAACTGACTACACTAGAAGTTTGTATGTCTTAGCTAAAATTTCAGAATACATTTCTCCCTGTCAGGAGTTATGAATGATGGTTTAGTTCCCAGGCAGCTACAGATGCCTATTTATTCCCTAATATACTGAACACTAGTACTGCAGAACTGAACCAGGGTATTACTGAGGTGGGGGAAGCGTGCATTCTGAGGTCTGACTTGGGGTGCCAGTCACATACACACCCTCCATCCCAGTGAGAGAGTGAGGACTCCCTGAGTAATGGGAACTATTTTGTGGCCTCTTCTAGTAGGACAGTCAAAAGCACCCATTTGTACATAAAGGTCATTCCTACATCATGTTTTAAATTGGGGTCAGTGTATATGCTTGTGTGTGTGTATTCTATCTTTCTACCATATGTGATCGGCTTAATGGTAACTTTATTTATTTAAAAAAAAAAAAAAAGGAAAGAAACACAAATAGTTACCATTAAACTGATTAAGGCTGTTTATTTTTACTGTTAGAATTGGTCATATGAAGATGTAGAGACGCCGTCATGCCGTAGACAGTGGGCCTAGCTAATCAGTGGCTAAAGTTGGAAAGGGGTTGGTTTCCTTTGATATGTATGTATGTATGTGTGTGGATGCACATGCATATATACATATGTATACACACACATAGATAATGTGCTTAACCACTGCCTTTTAAAACTTTAAATTAAATAAAACATTGGGGTTGATTGAATTTAGCCATCTGTGTGTGTTTCTTTATGGCTACACGGGCTAAGCAACACTATTTCATAGTTAATCCTTTTTAAAAATGCTTTTCCAACCATTATCTTAACTTCTCATCATAATAGCCTTTGTAAGGACAGGTAAAGTATTTGGGGTATTAGCAAAAATGTCATTTATCCAGAAGTTAACTTCTCTGGCAAAAAAAAAAAAAAGTCAGGAATTGAGTCTTAAAAGGCCTTGGAGCTGCCAGACAGATGTCACAGATTTCTTGCAACTACTCCTAAGGGATATCCACAAGATTTCACTCTTAGCCTTTTTACTAAAATTTGCATACATCTCTTAACATATTGAGATATCTGCCTCCACACACACTCAAAAAAAAGAGGCAAACAAAGAGGCTGCTAGACTGAAGTCAGGCAGACTGAAAGCAGAAAAGACCACTGAAAACACTGTGTTAAGATAGGAAGAAACTAGTCAAGGTGAAGCAAATCAAGACTCTCAATTTTGCCATGGGATATTGACCCAGCAAATAAGTGTTTAATAGTATGGCCCATAAACTCATTCTCTGCCCATGAGTTTCTTTAAAGGAATAAATTAGCCAAAATGTTTTATAAAAGACCAAGAAGAATAAAGACATTAAGGAATTTCATCCAAAATAGTTGAGGGAGAGATTATGAATGACCTACATTTTAACAACAGTAAATAAAATAAAACTTGACAATTCTTAATTTTAGATTAGTGAAAAGGGGTTTTTAAAAACTTGATATTTTTGTTATTCTACAAATGTATTTTTTATAATTTCTAAAATCACTTTGGGATGAGTGTCAGCCTGGGGAAGGGCCATCCATCTTGACAGCTCTGCAGAGTGAGCAAGTGAACAGTCTGTTAAGAATCTGTGATTTCCTTTCAGTTTGCATTTCCTATTGCTGGGTGTTAAACTTGGATTTTAAAGAGGGAGAATTTTCAGGGGAGAGGATGGGAGTGACCTCACCTTGCACACGGAAAAGAGCTGACACCAGTGGGTGCTGATGGCACGTGAGCTCTCTTGCATCCCTAGAGCCTCACAGCAAGCAAGAGTCCATCTGTGGCCACCTGACCCCCAGCACGCTCCTTCCCCAGCCCCACTGCACCTGGAGTACACCATGCCTCCCCAGGCTTTGAAGGTGGGGAACAGAGTGGGATGGAGAAGGTGTCTCAGGCCATTTTAAGCAATAGCTGTCTCCGCAGAACTTGAAACATTTTAAAAAATGTTTTAAGCAGGGAGGGGCCTTGGAATGGAAATGTGAGTGGGAAGCTTGCTCAGTTAGGTGAGTACTTGATTTCAAATGAAGACCTGGAAAACTTTAGGGTAAGACGGAGGCCAGGGATGCAGGCCCCTCTACCCACACCCCTCCTGACTTCAGAAGTGGGGTGCTAGAGTATGTTGTGAATAAAGCAGTTGAGCTGCTGCTTTGGAAGAACAATTGCCAAATTATTGCAGCCCTTTCGCATGTGTGGTGATCCTGGGTGGTGGGCAGGGCAGATGTTACCCCTTCTTTGGGAATGAGGACATAGGCTTTGCGAGGGACTGAACACCAAGTAGCAGGTCAGTCTTGCCACCTCCCAGACAGGTGTCACTTGCATTCACTTCCTTTTTTTCCCTGATCGTAAAAATAATGTCTGTTTTTTGTAGAAAGCTTGGAAAATGCAGAAAGCAATAAAATTAATTTTACCCAAAATCCCACCACCCAGAGAGAATCACTGTTAACATTTCAGTGTATTTCCTTCCTATATTTTTTCTATGCATATATAATTTATTTTACTACAAGATTGGGATCACGCTGTACTTACAGATTTGTATCCTGCTTTCTTTAACATATTGTGAGCATTTTCCCATGTCAATAAATATTCTTCAAAAGTTAATGGCTATACGATATTCCGTCATATGAACTGTGGCAAAGTGATTGCCTACCCAATAGTTTTCCTAAAAAAACATCAAGGCCTAGAGCCCCTGCCCCCAGCCACCAAAAATAAGTTATCTGCTGTCTTCCCACGAGGCAGCAGTGAGCCTCGGCAGCACTGCAGAGTCACAAGATCCGGGGATGGCTGGGAGAAGCAGAGGATCCACCCCATACCCCCGGTCCTGCAGAAGCCTCAGCAGCACACATGACTGATTATCAAGGTAGCTCCACAGCTTTCAAGAAGAGCCATTTTAAAGGTAGCAAGAGAGCCGGACAACTTAGAAATGTCTGCATGTTCTAAAAAAAAAAACGATGTCAACCTTGTTCGGTGTGCAGTCCAATTGTTAACATTATAGTTCTTGGAGAAACTTAATTCCAGAAGCAGAATGAGCGACCAAGGTTCAGGAGCCATGTGTTTTTCTTACAAGAAAAATAAGATGGTACCTGTCACCATATTGAGTGTGACAAGCACAGTGTGGAAAAGGAACAAATCGTGAGAGGTGGGGAGAGACTTATAACAACTGAGAATCCTCTGGAGGAAAGGCAGAGGTTTCTAGAGAGCACGCTGGAGGGGACAGTGCACCACGCCAAGCCCTGCTCCATGAGCCATCAGAGCAGCCCTGGCAGCTGAGGAGTCAGGAGATAGGCAGACGGCACCCACGTCACAGGGCAGGTGCCAAACACACTCCCCTCTACATCTGTGGTGGTGATGTGGCATCCTCAGGAGAACTGAAACACGCCAGTCACTGTGTTCTGTGGTCTAGGTCTCTGACCACCCTCTGCCTAAGAAAAGAACAAAAATATTCTCTGAGACTTCTAGAGTCCAGTTTGCGTGTTAATGTGACACAGTGACCATCCTAAGCAGTAGTCTCTAGCTGTATCCACATCTCAAAGACCTCTACCTTTTCTGCATTGAACAAAATTGCAGCCGAAATATATTGAGCAATACTGTGGTGGACAGTGTGCTGAGCACTTCACATGCACATTCTAATTTATAACAATATTATGAGGTAAGCCCTATTTGTAAAAATTCTACTTTTCAGATGAGAAAACTAGAAAAACATTATTTGCTTTTAATTTGCTATATATAGAAATTTCAACTCAAGACAGACACCAGAGTGCACGAATTGTTTTTGTAATCAGAAGAAAATGCATAGTCCTTTTATTTATTTAAAAGAAGAAAATGTCAGAAGATTTAAACAAGAAAATCAATTAAGAAAATGACTGATAACTCATTTCTTCATTTCCTTATGCATAGGTTTCAATGCTGGAGTTACTCTCAAAGAGCAGCCCATATTTACCAGCACACTGATCCACATCAGTTTGTTCAGTAATCATTGATCAGGCATTACCTGTGTGCCAGGTACTGTTCAAGGTGCTTGACCAAACATGGCCAAAGTCCCCATCCCCAGAGTGCCCACAGCATGAGACATCCATGACTAAAATCTGAAGGAAGAGTCGCAGGATGTCAGGGGGATTGTGGGGTGAATAACAGGAAGTTTCACAGGTGACATGTGAGCCTGAGCATGAGCTTACCATGGGCAAAACTGCTCCTATCGGAAGAACGAGCTCAAACAAGCTCCTAGGCAAAAGGTACATGATGCGTACAGACTCGAGGAGCAGAGTATGACGGAAACAGTCTCATGATTAGACACGTGAGCAGCAGCACTTCAGGAAAGGGACATGGGAAGATCACTGTGGCCACAGGATAGAGAACGGATTGGAGAAAGGAAAGATAGAAAAGAGACCAGGCAGAAAGCCAATGCCTCAATATCTGAAGAGTGAACTGGGTCCAGACTAGAGCAC